AAAAAACACCAACACCAAAAAAAAAAAAACCCCAAAAAAAAAAAAAACCTGAGAAAAGTACATGGTGACCAAGGGAAGAGGGACAGTTCAAGAACAAGGAGAATATAATGGAACCAACTGCGATACACACCTGTATCTGCACTGCTGCTAAGGAGAGAACATCTGAAACAAATTTTGGCAGGGTCTATAATTGATTGTGCAGAAACTATTGAACTTGATTGTAAAACAGTACTTGATTCACAGCTCTAATTTTTTTTCAGAAGTGAAACTAGCTTTGCCACCCATCTGGCCACCCTGTTGAGGACAGCTTTACCCTAGCACCAGGGAAGGGAGATGACAGCTCACAATGAAGCAAGGAATTGGTGAAGAGGATGCAAAACAATGTACCTTGTGTTCAGCATAATGGAACTGGAGAGAGTTCACCTTAAGCACAATATTAAAGCACCAAGGGGACAGCCTGATAATGCAAGCTCTAAAACTTTGCCAAGTGTCAACGGGCTCAGCATAGTTAACATTGCTTATTTTGTGAAGGCTTTTGAACTGTCTCCTATAACATCCCTGTAGGCCAGTTGATGAGGTATGGCCTAGATAAATGGACAGTGAGATGGAGTGAAAACTGGCTGAGCTGCCAAGCTGAAGGGCTTGACATCAGCAATATGAAATTCATGTTGAAGCCAACCACTGGTGCTGTAGTCCAGTGGCTGATCCTTGGCCAACACCATTTAACTGCTTCATTAGTGAATTTATCATCAAGAGAGCACACCCTCAGCAAGTCTGCTGATGATACAAACTGGGAGTAGGGTCTGACACATCAAGGGATTGTGCTGCCAACCCAGAGTGACCACAGTAGGCTGGAGAAATGGATGGCTGACAGGAACCTCATGCAGTTTAACAAAGGGAAGTGCAAAGTCCTGTACCTGGAAAGGAACAAACCACTGAACCAGTACATGCCCAGGACCACCCAGATGCTTAGCCAAAAGCAGCCTGGAGGTCCTGGTGGACACCAAGTTGAACATGACTGAGCAGTGTGCCCTAAGAGCAAGGGTTTTCCAGCAGCATCCTTGTTTAAGGAGGATTGTTACCAGTGGGTCATGGAAGGGGATAAGCTGTGGTGAGATGCATCTGGAATTTTACAACCAATTCTGGGCTCCCTAATATAAGAGAGAGATGGCCATTTTGGAGTGAGTCCAATGAAAGGCCATGAAGGCAGTTAAGGAAGTGGAGCATCTGTCACACAGAGTGTCTGAGAGCTGGGACCAATTTCCTAGAGAAGGCTCGGGGAATTCTTATCAGTGTGTATAAATACTTGATGGGAAGCAGTAAAAAAGACGGAGCCAGGCTCCTCTCAGAGGTGTGCAGTGACAGGAGGAGAGGCAGTGGACATGCCTGAGCAACACATGATATCACACAATATCAGTGGACACAGACTGATATACAGAAATCTGAACATAAAAAGCCCCCAAAACCAAAACCCAAACTACTTTGCTCTGGTACAGGTTGCCCAGAGAGACTGTGGTGTGTCCACTCGTGGAGACAGTCAAAACCCTAGTGGGCACAACCCTGATTTATCTGTTCTAGCTGACCTTGTCAGGCAAAATAAAGGACTAGACTAAATGATCCCAGAGTTTTTGTCCAACCTCCATAACTGTGTGGTTGTATGAAAGGGAAAGAAAGGAGTGGGAGGCTGTGTGTGATCAGCAACACCAGACTGACAGTTTATTCATCTCAGTTTCTCACTAGAGCATAACATTGTATTGCAATTATAACACCTTCAAAACAAGAAGATTTTTGCAAAGGTGAGGTAATAATTGATGTGAGAAATCATTACCACTATCAAGAATAAAGTCAGAATTATCAGAATTGTCTACATAATACTCAGGTTAGCTATACTTAACACAATATAAATCAATGCATAATGTTACCAGCTTCACTCTTTTTTTTTTTTCATCAACAGCAGGAATTACTAGTGGCTAAAGAACTACCATATCTTTGCCTGGAATTTGGCTGCTGTGACCTTGAAAAAGTGCTTTGGCTGTATTTTCAACAGTAGCTCCCAGTTTGCTCCAGTGAATTAACTTTCTTATCAACTGTAGCTCATTTTCTTCCCTAGTGCAGAAACCTCAGCTGCTGGGAAATGTCATGAGCACAGATTGGCTTAAGCTTTGCAACACAGGGAATTAAGTGTGGTGTTATTCCATGTGGCTTTTGCAATCACAAAATATTCAGGGCTGTGCTGGCACTGAGATATTTTCACCAAATTCTTTAGGAGTTTGTGTTTTTTATATCCCAGCTGTTGTCAGTATTTTCTTTTGACATATTTCAGCAACACTTAATCAGAGGCAGCCTTTGTTATTGTTCACACCACTTGGGCATATACATTTGTACTTGCTGTAGGCATAACCCACCTATTGGGCAGCAGCAGGCAGTTACATCTTCTAACTACTGGTGGGACTGCAACACAACTGCATCTCTGGCATCTCTGAGAGATCCACACAGACACTGAAGAGCTTTTTAGGTGCCAGAATACTCCTGGCAATCCACAAAGTCCTGGCTTGAAGCATTATGATTCTTCTCTTGAAGACACCTGGACACTCCCTGAGATTTCTTCTTCCCACATGCACACAGTGACCTCCTTTAGAGTTACTCTACTGAGAATTCTTTTATTAGGAAACTAATTCTTAGATACTGTAGTACTGGTCTCTTTGTAGATTCCCACTGTTTCTTTCAGGGTGGGCATGTAGCTCCAGATTTTATTCCGAGTACCTAAGTACTCGGGAATATGTGTTCTTAATCTTCAGCAATGCTGAACATCCATGAACACACAGTGAACCGAACTAAATGTCAACTGCTTGAAGGTCAATTCAGAGCCTTTCAGTATGGCAAACACTTTAACAAATCTTAGCCATCAAGGATACTTAGATGTGGGAGTTCCCTCTTGGTTTGGGTTTTCTAAATATAGCTCTATAAGTCCTAAGTTGTCAGAATTGCAAATGAAAGCCAAAATTCTCCCATTCACACAAAGGCAGGGCACGTGCCCAGGAACACCCATGGGCTCCTCGGCAGCCGAAACTCTGCTACAGCCTCCTCCCTGCCTGCACCAAGCCCTGCCTACCCAGTTTCCAAGGCAACGGTGGAGCCTGGCGATGGATGCACAAGGGAGGCAACAGGGATCCCACAACATTTTCATGTCTGTCTGTGATTTCCCATTGTTTGAGAAAGAATCACAAGTGTACACATAGGAAAGCTTCTCAAGCACACAAAATGTCTGCCCAAGGCTTTATTCTCAGTCATTTGTGAGGGATGATATCATGTGTTGCTCAGATATGTATATCAGACACAACATGGCTTTTTGAGTCTTTCTGTTGGTGCTCAAATGAGCATGCTCTGTTTGTTACCTTATTGTTTGCCTTCTACCTGGTAACTATGACATTCCCAGCTAGTGAGGACTGTATGAGGCCACCTTTGGAAATTGATGCCTAATCATTTGCAATATGCATTAAGACTGAGGAATATTCTACCAGCAAGAGGATGGAATGATTGGGAAAGTGATTTTCATGCTAATAATAAAATATCCAAAAGGGAAATCTATTTTTATTTCAATATTACAACTGACTGCAGGCATTTAACTCATTGTATTAAATACAACAACGCTGAGCATGTTTTTATGAATGAGCAAAAGCAGTTTCATTGTAGAGCCCTCTGAACTTTTGTTTATTATACCTGAGGGTCTGTGTGTTTGGCCAAGAACAAAAGAGGAGAGAGGATAAGTGTGTGAGAGAAAATCACATTACAGAGCAATTTGGGACACAGTCAATTCTGAAATAACCCATGCACCTTTAGAAGGGAGAACAGCTTCTCAGTGAATCTAATATTTCTTCCACACCATATGGTTCCTCTTGTGAATTTAGATTATAACCTCTGAGAATCAGGCATTTCTGTGCATGTGCTTGTACAGGACACAGCAAACAGAACCCTGCTTTTCTGGCTTCCAAAGTTACCATAATAAACATGATCACATGTCACAAAACAATTCCAAAAAGGGGAAAATGTGGTGATCATCATCAGGCAGCGATCTACTGAGAAGAAAAGCAAA